CACATTTTCTTCCCATTGAATCCGGTAGACATAAAGGCATTTTGAAGGAAAACAGGCTATGTAATCTCCATGAATGCAATGAAGTAGGGGATGAGAAACATTACATTTTATATTGTAATAATTGTCAAATCAAAGAACAAAGATCTAGATTCCTTGCAGCTTTATACATCTATGCCCCAAAGCTGGAAGATTTTAGCATGGATGAATTATTTCCTATTATTGTTTCAAGTAATGATTTTTTTATTCTTAGCATTTTTGCAAAATTTATTTTCTATATTCTTGATATGTATTAATACTGAAAGTTTTTGTTGTTCTGAATGTTTTGTTTTGTTATTGTTATTTTTGGACTTTACTCAAGTTTTCATTGGTACGTTCCAAATAAAAAATTCTATCTATCTATCTAACTTTTCAACAACATCCTCGCGGTTTTTTATTTTATTTACTCCCGGCATTTACTAGACTTGCGTTCAAAGCTGTCCCGTCCCGTAAATCCGATAACCTATTTACCTAGTTACGTTTAGTTTTGTTTTTTCCCTATCTCCATTTACAATGCCCCGTTGACACCTCGCTAGGTATTTACACTTCCCATCCTCACCGCCCCCTTTGAACGACCGCTACCAATCAGACTGTACAAATAATTATCCGCCACGATGTCTACTCCCAGTAGCACCGCCGACCATACACTGACGCCCTCTACGCCACGGTAAATGATAAGAGCTCCAAATTTTAACTATAACATACAGGCTCCCCCCTCGTTGTTAACGCCGCCGCCGATCACAATAATAACAACAATGTCGTCTCGCACCTCCTCTCCCCCTCCCCCGCCAGTCCCTGTTATTTCCGTCGATATATAGGATCCCCCGAAATAATCGACACCCCCCCTAAAACCTAAGTTCCATTAGTATGTTTAAGAGACAACTCGCGTTTATTCAAGCCCGATAAATCGCGAGCCACTTCTCGTTGGCTTTATAAGAATGCAAGTGTACGTGGCATGTCAGATAGCAATTTAACGTAATCATGGCGAAGAATGATTGATAAGAGCATAGACATTAACAAAAAAGAGATTGTTTAACACAGCTCTTTCACAGCTATGATATTATTTCCGAGCTTTGATACGTTTTCACATCTCGTGCTTCGTGACAGCACGGTTACCGTGGTGACAGCTAAAACTCATGCGATTATGCACTGTCAATAAATATGAACGAGTCGTGAAAAAAAAATAAACAGTTACAATTTAGTTATCAGTTGAATGAGCGAACACGTTCTGTTACTACCAACATATATATAATAATAGATAGTCAATCAACGTGATGAAATTGTTACTTCATATAATTAACATTTTCTGCAAACGTGTCTATAGCCTCTTCCATACGAATACTTTTTTTAACAACACCATTAGCTTCAATACTCTTCTTACCACGTCGAGAATAGCCATTGACCAGGAGATGATGATAGTAAATGTGTCGTG